TAGTCCTCTGATTAATACTCACATGCATTATCGTAATGTTATATTGATTAGTCCTCATGACAAACTAGCTCAATCGATAATAAAAACTGGTAGTCTATATTAACTAATTAGCTTTGATGATTTGTTAACAAGCTGTAATAGCATTTACATGCTTCAGCGACATAGTCTTGTTTAAACATCAAGCTCTAGCAAATATGACCTGTAAATAGCGTAAATATACATTGACTAACAATGCGATCAAGGACTAAATAGTTATCTGGATCTAATTCTCAGTGTCCCTTCACTTAACACCTCATCCTGTTTTAAACGATGCACTATCCTGTAATATCTTTTCTTCCGACCACTGCCTGCCTAATTTCATATTCACGAGTTCCATTGCCAAACAACGAGGATGACTACTCCAAAAACATACGGTGAGTTCCAGCTATAAGTTTTCTGCAATCATAAGTTCACTTTAGATGGCACACACAATTATCTGGATTCATTCGATTGTTCTGATCCGAGCGAGTCCCAAAGACCTCAACAGCATCAAGCACCCTGGAAGTGATTGCCATACTGTATGTTTTATTCTGGATGCTTTTGGATCATTACTACTCCTCACGAATGGCGTTATATATGTCGTCCACTGAATAATCTAATTTTCAAAAATAATCCAGGCGAGTTCAACTATTTTACTGGATGATTTTTTTTACTTAACATGTATATGTTTTCCGGTTCCTTTTGCTATATATTTGTAAGTGTCCCTAGGCTAAATGCAGTAACTCCTTATGGAATGTTTATAACACATCATATTCCTGCCTGAAGTTTCACAAGCAGTCTAAACTTTAAAATTATTTTCTGGTCATGTTCCTTATTTTTAAATCGTCATATACGTCAACAACCTGCATGTTAACCTGGCCCATACATACGTTACACTATATCTCCATGTCTTATAAATTTAGAAATCATCTGGATCGCCTTTAACATTTATCAATAAACCCATCATAGTCGTTGTTGCTAATCGTATGGTTTATCATATTAGCAGCCTAAAATGCGAACATAGTTTAGATAATAAGATTAAAAATTTAGGTACTATCAACTGCACTAGTGAAATAACTAAATCCCCAAGTAGCTGTTGGCTAAACAAACGTTTAAAATCAAAACTCCGTAGCCTACTAGAATTAACACTAAACGAATATTTCTGAATTAAAATTTATAATTAAATTAGGCGTCTCGGATTCTTTCTGATGATTTCGAATCACCTAAAGCAACAATACTATTTTTCCACTGACTAATCCTCAATCAACACTATAACTAGCTAAACGTAATAGTTTCAAGATATCGTCATAAAGCATTGTCATAACTTGACAATCACGTAATATGACTGATAAAATTAATGTAACTATTAACGAAATCGGTCAACAAATTGACTTATAATTACCATTATATGGTGTTGTTTTCTTGGTATCTTCATCCATCACAGATGATTACAGTATGTTTCTCTATCAGTTGCTCATTCAGTAAATATCTAAAAACCTTGTCAGTGTAATTGATGGTTTAGCGACACAATCATGCATGCAAATAATCAGTATAAGCAGTCGAGCAAATCTCCTGCAAACTGAAAACATCAATGTCGAATTTACCCCAACACTGACTAAGGTTCAAGCCATTATCATAGACGTGAGTTGGGAGTGTACTCCCCTTGGTTACAACTTGTGTTCTTCCTGATAATCACATGAGCATCACTCACTGTTAATCATCTTGTAAAAGCTTATTTAGCCGAATACATCCTGCGGCACCACATCACTTCGTAATATGACACAGGCCTAACTGATTTTAATAACCTATAACCACTATATCTCAATTTAATCTTATTCCGCCTTATGATAAACTGCATACTTGCAACTAACTTGTATGCCCAATCAGCCAGCAAGTATAAATATAAATAAATAGTCTATTGCAGATCAGAACATTGAGTCCAGAGCATGTCTCTTACGAACACACTCATGTTTAGCGATTTGTTCCTAGCTATCTGTCCAAAATTCATATAATTATCACTCACGTATTTAAATTTTATTTTGATAACCATTCATGTGTATTGGTAGTATTACTAAATTCTATCACGGTCAAGTAAAAATGAAGTTGAGAAAATCTCCCCGTAACTAAATAAACCGTATCAAACTAACTGGAACACTAGTTGGAATTCTTTTCCATGGTAATACTTTTGTTCTCCCAGTTAGCCTACTAATACAGATGCAATTGGAAATCACATATGGACGGGTTACCGGCATAATTGTTAATTGGTTTCATAATTTAAACCAAAACTAATACCAATATTGACATTTCTACAATATTCATTACTTTATTATTTCTAAACACAAAATACTTACTACCTATACGTCAAGTTATTAACCAACGTCTATTAACACGCATTGTTTTATTATTATTATTATTATTGTAATCCCATTTTTTTTTATAGCTCAAATAATCTTCACCCAAATTGTCATTTTAAGTGTGTTAAGCATGAAGGCAGATTTTAAAAAAAAATTATTACATGTATTTCCCGACCAGATGCTGCCGCCTTTCTTTTTGATTTATCTTTCAGCTTATCATTACCCGGGGGATTCTTCCTAGTCTTGGTAACCTTCGGCGCACGACGATCCCATCCAATTTGGTATCGAACCAACATCACGTTGATTCTGGTGGGAGAGTAGTGTAGTGGCATTGGACAATAGCCACACAATCCACAAAGCTGTGAACACGAGACTACTCAGAAAATAGATATTCAATATTTAACGCCGAGAAATACCTAAAAATGGAGAAGGCGCGAACAATGAATTGAATGGACTGGAGTAGGATCGAGTGGCATGGCTCGGCCATGCAGGCGTGGTCTCTATTCATATTAAATATATTGTTCCTTCTCTAAACTAACCTTGTTCTTCATCATGTATTGGTAATTGATACGATACAGTGAGTTGGCGTAGTCGATGGTGTGACTTCCACGTAAGATCTTATAGATTAGGCAGTTATATCATGACGAATCTACAAATTTAGGATTAGGTCTATTATTAGAGCAGTACTAATATCGTAGTAGACCATAGTTCTACACATCTGCAACAACGAAAATCCAGTGGATGGGTTTGCGTAAACCCACGTTAAGGTAAACGTACCTTCTGCTATACGTAGCGATCGGTTTTCCGTTTGCCGCCTGTAAGTTTAGGGTCGATTCGTGTAATCGGTCGTTAGGATTTGCTGGGAGAACGCTAACTTCTGCCCCAGTGTCGACGAGGTAGCGAACTCTCGTTGTTACATCTGTGACGTACAACAGACAGCTATGTTCACCGGCTACGGTTGCCGTTAACGCGTGCCGGCTTGGAAGTTTCCCGAGTTGTTCTTCGAGTCAGTCGGTTTTGAGTTGGGAAAATTGCAGGGTTTTCTGCAATTTCTGGAAGACTTTCCACACTGCTTATGATACCAGCACCAGCCGGGGATATCCGACTCTCGTGGTCTAGAGACAGATCGCTTACGTGAAATGCTTCTACGTGGGGTGCACGATCTCTTACGGTCGGCACGAAGATTAAGATAACGCGTGAGTGTATGACATAACTCGGTTATGTCATTCTGAGTCGTTTGAGGCTTTTCTTTGACTGAAAATACCTCGGTAGTAGAAGATTTCGTAATTTCTAAAATACGATCGGCAGATGCAGCCAGTTCGTCTAAGGCGTTGTTTTGAAACGAGACCAGAACTGCTTGCACCTGTTGGGGAAGTTTTGACAAGAAGGGTTGTTTGAATAGACCTTCGTCGAAAGTTCTTGGGCCTATAACCTCTATCATTCTTTGCAACATGTCCGTCGCAGAACCGTGCTGCAGGTCTATGTTATTAAGGAGTTGGTCTAACCTTTGTCGATCGGTTAGGTCTCCTCGTTTAAGAATCGAGCGTTTTAAGATTTCGTAAGGATCGGAAACATCACTAGTAAACATACTAGGTGTTACGTACCTGTTGAATTCGCGCGGTAGTGCCTTGACTACTGCGAGGAATTGTGCACGTGTGTCGATCACGCCGTGCTCGGAGAAGTCGGCTTCGGCGTAGCAAAACCAGGCTTCGATGTTGTCGGGCCAGAAAGGCATCAGTTGAAACGAAGGCGGGGACAAAGTCTTAAGCTTGAGTACTTTAGGTGTCTGTTCAGTCATGATGAAGTACGATAATGAACGAGGGGAAAATATATATATCCAGGAAAAAACACGAAAAAAAGATCACAATGTTTAAAAAAATAAAAAAATAAGGCAATGATATATATAAATCCCAAAAAGGAACAGACTCACAGTTGCAATTAGGTGTACCAGATCACGTCGGTTTCACCAATGATGATGTCACAGGTATTCAGTGTTTGACAACGTTTCTACCAGTAACACCTTCTAATATATTTCGTTCCCGCCCAGAGAAATCAAAAGACAGAGTCGAGGAGATCGCAAGAGTGTATTTGGCGATAACCAAAATATCGGAATTCTCTGATCTAATCTGGCTAGCGATTGCGGTTGATGTTGAGCACGGCGTTACCACACGTGATCTGGTGCGGATGCCTGACCGAGTGCCCTCAGCTAGATGAGTCCACTAAAACATATGGTCAGCATCCAATGTCGAAAACTTACAGGGCTATTTATTTTGGGGATTTATTTACCGCTACAATCCAGTTAAATAGACTGAATAATGGTATTCCATGTCTCTCATTGCCACGAAGGAATCAATTTCATCATAGTCAGGGTTTTGATTATGAGATACGTCTAGTTTTATCTAATGCATTCAGTTTGATGACCTTGAGTTGTTTTGTTTGGTGGCGTTTGCTGGGACGTTTTCAATTCAAAGGTACAAAATGTTTAACTTGACTGTGGGCGCGATCGATGTAAGGGCACACTTTGTTTCTAGTTCTTGCATAGGCAATAAATAACGGCAAAAATGTTGAGGAGCCAGTTCTCAAACTATTGGTAGCTTATAATTTCCATCATAACTTGTCAGGGGTTTAAAAGTGTCCCAGGTGGTGGGGGTGGTCAGAATCGTTATCGGTTACTGCTCACTGACGGCGTAAAAACTCATTCATGTAGGTTTTGAATTTTTAACCACTGCCTATAGTCGCCATGCTCGCCACACAGTTAAACCATTTGATTGATGAAAACAAACTGGTCAACAATACTGTAATCCGCGTTAGGAAACATGTTTGTAATAACATTCAAAATAATAAGTATATTCGTTCTGTCAAAGTAACTGGTTTCTAGAGTTGTCCTCATTGTTTTGGATCTTGATATACTTGGGACGGATGATTCGTCAGGTAAGTTGACATTTTACTGCAATGCGTTCGCTTATGTTCACAGTTTCGCTAACTTCTGTTGCTATTATTGTGATATCACAATTCTACATATGGTGTACATATCTAGGTGGTTCTTGATTCCAGAAGCCTGATGGTTTTCCAGCCACCTCTGGCTCAATTAGGTGCGTCTTCAATGACTGTCTAAACCAAAGGTGACATTAATGCTTTAAGTCCCAGTCTGAGTTGTAATGACCGTTATCGATTCCTTAATTTTATCCTCACAATAATCACGAGGCGCGTCGGACCAGGCGGGAATTCATTGGTTTATGGTTAGATGTATTTGTCCTTTTTCAGATTTCGAGTTTTAGTATTTTTCCGTACTTGTCAAACATTTTCCCGCTGGTTTATAATTGTACTCACTGCAAATAGTTTTCTATTTTCGCACATACAATAGTGACTGTCTATGCGCCTTTCGTGATATATTTTTGCCAATGTATTGCCGGATCTTGGTCCATTGCACATTTGTACCAGATGATGCGTTGTCTATAATTGACTATCATAATTAGTCCGAATTGGTCACAGATATGTGAAACAACCTAGTTTACATGTTGATGATGGGGTCAGTTTTCCCACTATGATCCTCGTTGAAAAAGCCTTGGAACGATGTATGTCTCCCAAAAGGTCTTCAGAAATTTGGAAACGATGTACAAGTTACCAAATGCAGGTTGATGTTTTTATCCTGCCTGGGTTGTAGTAGTCGAGTGTATGGATAGTCACGAAAGACGTTTTGAGGTTGTTCTACTCCCGTACAGAAATGTCTTCACAGTCTTATAGTCCAAGGATGCATCATTTGTCTGTTATTACCACTAAGTTAGTGTCGTTGGATTTAAGCATAGGGTTCCAAATAGTAAGAGCAGGTAAGTAAGCTGTGAACCTTCATCCACCTGCATATAGAAATCGTCGCCCTACTAAGCATATGATGTTTGGAGGAGGTATAAGTTAAAATAAGCGCGATGATCTAGCCATGACCTTAAACCAGTCTGGCATATCATAATCGGTCATCATTAATGTATAGTTTATGTTATCACAAATCGTCAATATAAAAGAACTTAAAGTTCCTGAATGATTATGCTAACAGAGTATGTTAATTGAAATAGCTAGGCTATAGGGAGAAATCGATCTCTTTGATGCATTCAGCTCCAAATAATTCCCGAAATCATTCTATTACACATCTTTACTTCCTTCTCATATTTCAACTTTTTTAAATATCACTACCTATCTTTTTTACCTTTCTGTTTTGGTTTCAGTTTTTCCACATAAAGCGCAAAAGACTTGCATATAGTTTTAACTGGTTTTTACTTTCATTCGTCTGCTAGTAATCCATAATACCTGTCGATCTTACTATAATTATTCTATATTGTATGCCACATGTTGTCCTGGATTGTTAAACAACTTTCTTGTTACGAGCTAACTATAGATTGTCAACAATGGCCAAAAACTAATGATCTTAGAATTTACATTCAGCAAATGCACGTTTCAATCTGAAAAGCTAAAATCATGGTGTTGGGTACACTAATTACAAGTGGATTGTTCGATCAATACTTTCATATTCATTATATTAGTGCAACTAAAGTTTCTCAATTAGTTGCTCTTTTTACTTTATTACCAAATTCACCACTGTAGTTCAGTTTGCGTAAGAGTCCTTTTCCTCATATGATTAAACCAGTAAATTTTATTGCAAGCCACAGAAAACGAGTGTCATAGTTATCATAAGTCGACTACTTATGCGATTAGTTTCTGATGAGCCATTAACTGATTTGTGGTTTTCCACTATGTTCGGCGTAGTTCGATGTCACAATGTGTTTCTTGACTCTAAGGAAAGTAATTGAGTGCCATGACAACTATATTTTTAATGTAACACATCGAATGCATATTCTTACGCGGTTTCAAACTCTACTGCTTATTTAAGGACTAGTAATAGTGCACTTTTGCCCAGATTCAAACAGATATTACTAAGTGATGTGGTCAGTAACCTCCTGATCCACACTAGCGGATATTAAAAATTTCTTTAATAGACGAAAACTTGCAAATACTGTAAAATATGATTACATTGTGGTATATGGAGGTTTATTGGCCGAAACTCATATATCCGATGTGCTTTCAGCAATAAATATTGTTAAATGGAAGTGTAACCAACTATTTCGAGTTTCCTTTATTTTAGTGATAAGTGATTTAATATTTAGTACTTTTTCTGTTTATTAAGGTGGTTTGAAGTCCGAACAACCACCCACGGTAGCCAAACCAACCACGATCACATCTCATTCAGTTGAACCTGAACAGAAAACTCCACCCAAATCTTCTGGTCCTTTCTCTGGTGGTCAGCCAAGTACTCCTGGAACACCAGGTTGTGGGCTCCCACGTGTATTTCCCATACAAAGCCTCAATCCGTATCAGAATAGATGGACTATACGTGCTCGTGTATCACAGAAATCAGCTATCCGAACTTGGAGCAAACAAGGTCGTGATGGAAAGTTATTCAACTTTACACTAGTCGATGAAAGCGGTGAAATCCGTGTAACTGGATTCAATGCTGAAGTGGATAAATTTTATGACATGATTGAGGTAAGTAACAGTTGTCATTTGGGTAAACATCTGAATCAGTTCATTCATCGATTCATTTCTAACGTTTATTTAAAACAGAATCTCCAATAGGCTGCATTATTTGTAGTACTGGTAGTGTCTCAATAAATAGATATCATTAATCATCAACACAGATTTTTGAGATGATTGCAAACACTGACCACAAATATTCGAATACTTCACACTTAAGTTTAGTTGGTCTCTCTACAGGTCCGCAACACACCATTCCCTACTTTCTGTTAAAGGAATTCAGAAGACTACATTTTATAAGCGTTGTCACTTGATTATACTGTATGGTATTCATATATCAAATCATTTAATAGACCTCAGATTGAAAAATCAGTCCAGGAAATGCAAAGGAATAATTTTTACACTTAAAGAAAATTGTGTGAAACTGTTAGTAATAGACGTCATTATTTGTTCTGGGCTCGAATACCAACTACTGACTAGTTCCTTTATGGTGTAAGCGAAAAATTTCCATGTTGAGGTATACATTTTCGAATATTTCTGACAGGAAATCTGCTGCGTACAAGGCTTTTTGATCGGCGGGTTCAAGTACTATCACTAAGTGGTAACATATGCACACTTTAATATGCTAGTATTAAAGAAAATCTGAATCACACACTTCTATTTCTAAAACTCGCTCAGTTCTCGTGATTTCGTTCTCCTCATCTTTTAGTTAGGAATCGAACAATTGCTAATTGTAGGATTATAGGGATTATGTAATTAAGTTTGGTTCTTTTTTCTGCACGAAGTTTATACTGTGCGTTTGAATGACTGCCATAATTCAAAGATTGGATGTACATTTGGTCATCTACAGATAGGTTTAAGTACATTTTTGTTAAGATCATATACCCCTGTTTGACCGGCTTGTAGATCCGTCTTGGTTTCATTGAAAAGATCTAATGGAAAGCTAACACGTTGATTATTATTATCGTCTTTCTAGTCGATCCGATAATTCTTACATAGTAATGTAACACATTCACATCTTGTGTAAAAATAGAACTCATTCAGTTTGTTGATAGTAGTATTTATTTAGACCATTTACTATCTACGGATTCCTGCAGTTAGTTGACTTTGAACCAGATCTTAGATTTGAGGGTTAGTGACTCTATCCATTCTCTCAGACTGATGAAGTGGGGTTTAGACGTCGGACTTGTTATCTGAAAGTCGAATTCATGATCATTGATCCTCTGCTCTAGGTTGACACTAAATATATTCGTTAAGCATTCTTAAATTAATTTTTATTTGTTCTGTGTTCCTATATCACTTTTTCTATAGATCAATAAAGTGTACTATGTCAGTCGAGCAAACTTGAAGGCCGCTAATAAACAATTCAATACAACTAATAACGATTACGAAATGACACTTCATAGCGATAGTCAAGTGTTGCCTTGTGAAGATTCAGATACTAGTTCTTTGCCAGAAACTCACTTCAATTTTATTTCAATAGGAAAGTTAGATACACAATCTCCTGGATCTTTTGTTGGTAAGGGATGATTTTTTCTTCTATAATTATCAAATTCGAAAAAAAGCGTATTGGAGACACGAATGAGTACTATTGTACTTGTTAGTGTGTATATGAAAAGCTCTTAATCTAATGTATTTATAACCTTTCTCTTATATTAAAAAATATCATGAATTGTTTTGCACTTAATTTAACACCTAGATATTGTTGGAGTTGTACATGAATGCGGTGAAGCACAAACAATTACTGCCAAAGCATCTCAACGTGAACTACGTAAACGCGAATTAGGATTAGTGGATAGCTCTAACTGTCTAGTACGTCTTACACTATGGGGTGAAGAAGCGGAGAATTTCGATGGTGCAAGTCATCCTGTCATAGTTATAAAAGCGGCAAAAATATCTGATTTTAATGGTATGTTATTCCTGAAACATTTTTTAAATCTGTGATTTGATAACTTTATGGCTTGAGAGAATTGCACTTAATACTACATGTACTCGTTTTACGTAGTATTCCTCATTCATTATAATGTTATGCAAAAATGCTAATCAATTATATTTCGGTACTGTCATGCACTATTTGATCTTACTGGATTATTATATATTGTTATTCAATGAATAAAATGCTAAGCTTTTCTCACTATGAGCTTAAGTTCAGGAAAATTCGTGATTGCTCTTAGTGACTCGTCTTAATGTGTTTCAAAATCGAGAATGTCGTCCAAAGTTCTATTACATTATAAAGGTCAACGTAGAAGTATTTAGTACAAAGCCATAATTGTATGAAAATCGATGATCTGGCTCTTTTCTTTGAACACATTGGTACAAGGGCGCACCGAATACATATACTCCACACTTCATCATTCAATTTGTGAGGACTGTAATAGTACCCGGGTGCCCAAACCGAAACAGGTGGTTTCCTCAGGAGGTCACTCTCCGAGCCCTTGACCTAGAGTTCTAAACCACAAGGCAGAAGAGCGACGTAAGGAGATGCCGTCCCATGGTAGCCGGTGACCAACGATTGGTTAACATGCCATTTGTTCACTCAGGATCATGGAGCCCATGTGCACCATTGGTTTGGAATCAGGGTTTTCACACTCGCCTAGGTGAATCCTGTATATCCATCAACCCAATTAGAGCGCCGGACATTCGCTCTTCGTCCTCTCAATTTCGTAAACAACACTCCTGTCGCAAGAAGGTAGTGATTAGGACTTCCCTGGCAGTGGCTATATACGCGTGACCATGTGAGAGCATTTCGAGAGGAAGAGCGGACTCTCTCCACTCTCGGCCGTACCAGGGCATTTGATGGCTCTATGATCTATCAAAGTTGTGACTACCAGCTATCAGTTCTTCTGTGAAATCGAATTTTCAACCCTGTTAACAAATGCTTTTAAAGATTCCTTAACTTATCCTGGGAAGGAATAGGTCGTAAGCAGTAATAAGTTCTGAACCCTTCATCAAGGATTTTAAAAATAATAAACTGCTAGGAGAATACCGAAATTATAAAACTATGCCTATTTTAAGTCTTCTGCTCTCATTACGCCTTCATTTTACATGGTGTTTCGGTCATATCTCACCCTTCAGCATGTATTCCCTTGCCCCAAGACCTGTAGGTCTAAATATTCACAAACGTGAACCGTGTACATTAACTGGTCACTGAGTATTGGTCAGTGTCATGTTTGTCTAGTTCTTAGAGTCGATTGAATTCTATCGACCAAGTTGCAATGTGGTTACACTCCATACTCCCTTTTTAAACTTATTACTTATCAATGCATGTTCACTTCTGAACAAAATCTCAGCCTTGAGAACATTAGCTTTTCTAGCCAAGCCTTCTTTCATACTTATCTTTGAAACATGGTGCTCTCAAGCAGTATCTGATTCAGAATTAAATATCCAGAACTATCGACTCTATCGCTGTGACAGAGAAACTTAGCGAGGAGGTGGTTGTATTATATATACTTTGGATACCATAACAACCAATAAAGTTGAAGATAGTGTTCTGAATAGTTTGCCAGAATTACTCTGGATATCAGTCAACACTCTAAATCATAGTCTACTCTTTGGATGTATATACCGAGCTCCTGATAGTTCGAATAATGGGAATGATCTTATTATCAATGCATTCATACATGCATCTGCTCTAAACTTTAGTGCTAAGGTTATCACTGGGGATTTCAGTTATTCTGGGATTAACTGGAGTACTCGATCTAATATTTAGTAAAGATGTTATCCCACTATCTGTAAAAGTATACGATGAATTTGGAAGCAGTGAACATAAGATAGTAGTACGAGCTCTCTCTATCTATCCCTCTTATAACCGACCCATTCAAAAAACCTGTCAATATAGAGACGATAAGCATACTGACTGGGACCTCCTGCATTCATTGATTAAACTTTCAGACTGGGATAATTTTTCATGTAGTAGTCTCATGGATGCTATCGACGGATTCTATCTGGTCGTTAACTCTTGTTTAGATTCCTGTGTACATCTTAAAACGTACAGGCTTAGTAAACCTTACGAATTATATATACCAGCTAAATATCGTAATAAACTAAGACGCCTACAGAATCTTTAAGTTAAACGACTTCACGGCAGTTGCACAAATAACAATAATTTTTAATCAAATTAAAGACAAACATAGCTTAAAAGCCATTGATGAGGAGATACTAGCACTTAATACTAACTCAAAGGTACAAAACGTAGCTCTCCTTTTCAATAAACGCGCTAAAGCAACTCAAAATATTGATATACCATGCATCCAGCATAATAGCACTTTTACATACGGCTCTAAAACTATAGCAGAACTTTAGTGGTATTTTTGCGAATGGTGTAGAAATCATAAGTGGCTCTGCTTCAAGAGTTATGTGCGTGACTAGCAAATCAATAAAATCTATCTCCTTCACATGCATGAAAATTAATAAGGCTATAAATACCCTTAAGCTTTCGAGAGGTCATGGAGCAGACAGGATTTCATCCTTTCTCTACAAATATGTTGGTCCAGATATTCCACTTCTTCTAAAGCTGTTTAACCTCTATGGAAACTGGTTCTTACCCTTACTGTTGAAAAACCGCGTACATCATACCACGTTACAAATCTGGAGATAAGACTGACATGAACAATTATCGGCCGATAAATATTACTCCAGTTATCTCTAGGATTCTGGAAAAAATTATAAGTGGTGAACTTTCCAACTATTTACTTGCTGAAAAATTTATCAATGATACTCAACATGGATTTCTTAAAAATCGATCTTGCATGACATATCATTTTGACTTCTTTAATTTAGTCTATTCTCTATGTATCCAAAGATATCTAGTCTTAGTGCTATATCTGGACATTTCTGAAGCCTTTGACATGGTTAACCACCAGTTTCTTATAGGTAAACTCGCATCTTATGGGGTTCAAAATCCTTTACTAGCTTGGTTTGATTCCTTTCTCAGCAATCGACATCAAATAGTTCAAATTAACTCTTCATTGTCTAACGTTGTCCCTGTTAGAAGTGGTGTAATACAAGGTAGTGTCTTAGGCCCTTTGCTCTTTTTAGTGTTTATCAATGATATTTGTGAAGGTTTTCGTGTGTGTAAGCCCCTTCTCTATGCAGATGATCTTAAAGTAGTATATTCATGTTCTCCACATGAGCTGGAAAATTTGCAAAATTGCATCAGCATGGAGCTTAACAAGGTAGCACAGTGGTGCTTAAAATGGCAAATGGAGCTTCATACGGCTAAATGTAGATGAATATGCTTCGGCGATACATCACTCAACCTAGACCTTACCATAAATGGAGAAATGTTATCTAGGTTACATACAGTAGTAGACTTAGGACTTAGATACTCCCAAGACTCGTTGTTTACAGAACAGATATTGGAACAAACCTCCAAGTCTCAACGTCTAGTAGGTTACATAACTCGGGACCTTTATAACAATGAGTCACGTATTTTAATGTACAAAGTTTGTGTCCGACCTCTTCTAGAATATTTCACGTTTATTCTTAGCAGTGCGCGCATGAAGGATAAATTAAGGCTGGAATCAGAACAGAGACGATTCGCACTTCGTATTCTTGGAGCTGATTGTACCTTAACTTATAATTCCAAATGTAATAAAATTGGGCTAGACCCTTTACGGAAGAGGAGACTCAAATTAAATCTTAACTTTTTGTTCAAACTACTTAATAAATTATCCTTTACATCCAATCACGTGATTCAATATGCAGAAGCTTCTCATTATGACGTCCGTAATTCCTTAGCACTAGTAAAACAAACTTATTCTAAATCATCTATTTATATGAATTACTTTACCTGTAAATTTTCAAGACTCTGGAATAACCTACCACAATCTATCCGTACGATAATATCACTCCCATTATTTGTTCGCTGCATCGATGCATACTGCTTCTCTGAAAATGCATTGAATGTTCTAGCACCTGTAAGTGTATCTCATTCCACAAATGGTATTATAAGAACTTTAAATGCTTAGCCATTTTTATTAGTGCATTCCCTAAGTAAAACCACCTACTTGCTGTCACTTAATGTTAACACCGTCCCCAGCAAGTTTAACTAATTTGTATAGCATCAACAATATATCACTGTGTCACATGACACACGCATTTGGTAGACCTGATTGACATATTTTGGTAATTACTCCTTTGCTGTTCCGTGCTCTGTTTTCGTTCTAATTTCTCTAGTTGTAGATAATTATCATTAATTCGATCTGGCGCAGGAAGTGACCTTAATTACACCGTTCATAAATCAACAGGCTGTCCATTTATGAAACATTAAAAGTTTCCAGCTGATGCATTGGATCGCTGTAATACATGTACTACCTAAACAATTACTGAACTAGCATACTTGAAACTTTCTTCTATCACATGTTTGTTTTGTACATCTAATGTTACTATTTATATCAAATTGATCATGCCTGTAAACTGGCGTGAATTCTGTGATTATTATTTTCAGAATATATAAATTATTATAACTGACTCAACATCGCGTACCCTGTACCTTTTTTGGATGGTTGCAAGTAGTTGACAGTGGTAACGTTTCAAACTATGGAACTTGGTGATCCGGGTTCGAATATACTAGAGACTATCAGTGTCTTGGAGATCGCTTTACTAATGAGTGCCAACTAGCATAAAATCTGGGTCAAGTAGCGTTTCTTGCCACTTACCCCCAACCATCTAATGATAAGCAGTTCATTACAGTCTGTCTTAAAGAATTGTAACACAGATTAAAAGTTTTATTGATATTGACTATTAATCAACGTTTTAAATAACCTAATGTGACATTCTTAATATAACTTATTTTCAGGTCGCTCTTTATCTGTAAGCCCAACATCATCCCTTCTTATTAGTCCTACAAATATTCCTGAAGCTATACGACTAAAAGGTTGGTATGAACATGAAGGTCGCTACTCTAACTTTGAAACCTTCCGTAGTGAAATGGTTGGATCTTCAGGAGGGGCAGATGGTGTATCTAGTTCGTCTGGTGTTCTTGGCGGTTGGAATCTCTTGCAAGATGTCAAAGCATCTGGTGTGGGAGCTAATGTAAAAGCAGATTATTTCACTTGTAAAGTAAGTGGACTTCTTTTTTGTTGTTAAAGCTTATGTTTACTCACGTTACGGTTTATAAATGACATATTACATTATCATACAGGAAAGCTTAAAATTAAATAGTTAGTGATATAACTCATTATATATGGATAAATTCATACACTTGAACCAGTGTATTCTAGTAATTCTTAGGAATGCGAACCATTGAATATTGTAATCTCCCACCCGTTATGCAACACAACGCATTATTGAGATATGTTGTGTTTTAGTCATTTGAATTAAAAAGGTGTGAATCCTTTATCTTGGTCGGTTTTTATTTTGTAAATAAAATATTACTAAATATCTTGTAAACATATCACTGTAGACTTTTAGTCTTAGCTTCGAACTTGTTGGGACTCCTCATTAATAGGTTTATCTTCACTTTTCCCAGAACACGCTTTTTATGAACATCTAAAATATTTCTAACATTATGCTAGGCAAGTAAGAATTTAACACATGTTTACTCATCTCGAATGACTGTATTGGATTCTAGAGGTTGTGTTACTATATAGCCTGAGACGTTATCATACGTGAATCAAAATGCAGAAACCAGTAAACTATCCTATCGCAATTTTTTATTATGTACAGGAGTCCGAAAATCCGTCTTTCTGACGAACATATTCCATTTCAGTTGTATTCATTTGGTGCTTTACTCTCTGTATTATTACGAGGTGAATTGAATTGTATATCCGTACTAATGATACCACCTAAACGCAGGGTATTAGGGAATAATGGTAAATCAGTTGATGGGGTTGTGAGTTTCCATCGACTGAGATGGTTGGGTCACTTATTACGCATGCCGAACCACCGACTACCATGGCACACAATGCTGACTAGTGTTGGAGACGGGTGGTAGTCAGTTAGAGGAGGTCAAACCAAAACGTGACATCGGTTTATAAAGTCACAGACTTCTGGTCTAATTCCATATGGGTAGATGTAAAGTACTTGGTTGGGGTCCGCGTGACTATCTTAACCAATAGTTGGAAACTCTGGATGACAGCTCAGAATCAGTCATAATGGCTTAGGTGTATGTACTCTTTGTCTTCCATTAAATTGTGAGATTAAAATAACGTCATACCCCTGTATCACATTCTTATATGCAATCTTTTTTTATACTACTACCGTTACTACCCCAAATGCCCGAGGTTGGAGAGAGTCCGCTCTTCCTCTCGAAATGCTCTCACATGGTCACGCGTATATAGCCACTGCCAGGGAAGTCCTAATCACTGCCTTCTTGCGACAGGAGTGTTGTTTACGAAATCGAGAGGACGAAGAGCGAATGTCCGGCGCTCTAATTGGGTTGATGGATATACAGGATTCACCTAGGCGATTGTGAAAACCCTGATTCCAAACCAATGGCGCACATGGGCTCCATGATCCTGAGTGAACAAATGGCATGTTAACCAATCGTTGGTCACCGGCTACCATGGGACGGCATCTCCTTACGTCGCTCTTCTGCCTTGTGGTTTAGAACTCTAGGTCAAAGGCTCGGAGAGTGACCTCCTAAGGAAACCACCTGTTTCGGTTTGGGTACCCGGGTATTATTACAGTCCTCACAAATTGAATGATGAAGTGTGGAGTATATGTATTCGGTGCGCCTTTGTACCAGTATTTATATGTCCAGATAAATAAATACCCATTGAAGCAACTACTTCTATGAATTCGGTGTTTATCTTCTACTGACTGACTGCCACCATCCTAATTAAAGTATGATATGTTTTCTTTGATTTGTAATTGTTTATTTACAACTGGATGTCTTAATAGTAAAGAACGTCAATTAACATTTGCCGTAGTAATGATTTTTCTTTCGTACCCATCTCTCCATTGCACTGATAACTGTTTTCCTATTTTCCCACATAAATTGTCTACTCATTTTGAAAAGTGATCATCGTTCTATTTTTTGCCTTCATACTTTATGTATTATGATGTATTTAACTTTTAGGCCACTGTTGTATTCATGAAAAAGGAGAATTTCATGTATCAAGCTTGTTCTACTGAAGGATGTAATAAGAAGGTGATTGATTTAGGCAATGGGCTATATCGATGTGAAAAATGTGCTAGGGAAACACCTGATTGTAAATGGCGCTTGCTTCTTATGGTAGGTGTTACCTATGCTGTTCTACTTAAAAACTATCATGTTTAACCTACTGGTACTCCCAATAGCATGCTTTCACTTTTTATTCTCTAAAAGTACTAGTATTTATAAGTCGACGAAATAGCCATCTAATGCTTCTGTGTTTTCAATATTTGTCTAACTTTATTTGGTTCGTGATTTCAGTGATATATATATATATATATATATATATATATATATATATATATATATATATATAAGCGCAAAAACTAATGAATTAGACGTCACATAGTATACTAAATTATGTTTAATAAATATAAAACCCAAAGCTACGAGAGTATCAGTAGTTTGTGATTGTTAATCGAAGTCCGTAAGATAGACCCCACAGCATTCTTGATTGATCACACCCATCGAGACAGTTTAGCCCTCAAGACTGAATTACGTCTCTTCATTTATCAACAAGTTAGATATTCAGTTGATAATGGCATTTCTAACTTCTTAGGACCAAAGTTGCTAATCAACAAGTTTTAATTGTTACAAAGCTTGCAGAGTGAGTTATCTCTTAAATTAGATAACTCCACTGCTGATCAATTTAATTATTATCATTACCACTATGATCCACGTACAATCTTAATGATTTATAAAATGAATTTCAGTTGTTAGATGGTTGAGGGTATTTGACAGTAGAATTTGATTGACATTGGTTTCATACTAATTGGTACTAATCAACAAGGTTTAGCTACAATCTTGAGGGATCTAATATGCTCTGGTAGATTTTAACCTAGGTCACCCAGTTCTATAGTCGTAGGTGTTATTGCTGAGTTTTTTTAAGTTCGACTTCTCTTCTGTAGGACTGGAATATTGATTGATCACTACTCCGAATTGCAGTTGTGAAACTATACTTTCAAGTATTTTCGAAAGGTTGTGTAGGATAAATGTTGGTCAGTTTAGAAAAACGTAACTCAGAATTATAAAGTTGATCATACCGTTCTAAGGAAAATTTGAACTGTGTATTCTAATACAAACCGTATCGAATATTCAATTTAGTCTGTTCATGTACTTACGTTGACAATTTTTAAATATTTAAATCTGTTTTTAGGCCAAAATTGCTGACGTCACTGGAGATTTATGGGTTACATGTTTCCAAGACGCTGCTGAAGCTTTACTGGGACAGACAGCTGAAAAGTTAGGCACTATGAAGTCAACACAAGTAAATATTTCTTCCTCTTGTCTTGTCAGCTATTCTATATTTTATGATATTTGGTTTATTAAACTAACTTCCCTATGTACAATTGATTATTCATTGAATAGTTACGTTTATCTAGTCCTTTAGTGCTTATCCCAGGAAAAGAGATAGTAGTGGTATCAATAGAGGTGGAAAGGATTAAGTTATCGAAGGAAGCGAAAAAGTCTAAAATAATTTGAAGATTTTCGATCTAAAAGAAGACAAAGAGTTAATGCATCTGCACAATAGCGGATTATTTTGAGCCATATTGTTCAACGCCTACAACCACTGCTTATGATAACCGCACAGACCCCAGTCGAGTGGTTTGCGTACTGCTTAGTCCGGCTATCACTGAATTCACTGATACCACGTTTTCGTTCAACCATCTCTAACTTTCAGCCTATATCAGACAACATTGCCCTTCCAGATAGATAGACAGTGGTTAGGCATATACGACACATGTCCCAACCTCCGTAGCTGATGAATATTCACTCAATCGTCAACTGATTTGGTATATTTATCTAGAACACTATACTCTTCAAAAATATTTCTAATTCAAACTTAATGATAATTGTTGTTTCTTTCGTTATTTTTTCTCATTAGGATGAAACACAGTTGGAAAAAGTGTTCATCGAGTCAGCATTTAACTCATGGATATTTCGTTTACGAGCTAAAGTTGATCGTTATAATGTAGGAAGTTGTTGATGTCTCTTATTTCTCTTTTTTAATATACTGGTTTAAGTGTTTTTATTTCCCATTCTATGTTTGTCGATTTTCATCGGTCACCAGTTTGTGCTTTTCTTTATTATCATTGTATCGGTACATGGATAGGCAGAAGGACAAAAATATATATAAGAGGATCTCCACACATACACCTCATAGTATTATTTTTGGTTGGACTTGTATTATCATGTTTGAGTTATCGAGTCAAGTTGGTTTTGACCATCATAAGCTCTGCTAGATCGAAATCTAATGATCCACATTTCAAACTCCAATAATTTCCTACTACAATATGTTCCTCATCTAATTTCAAGCTTGCATGTACGTCTTGTTGCCAAGTCTCTTAATAAATACAAAACCTTGATCAAACAAGATTTCCTGCTGACCATCTTAAATTACTCAGCATCATTAGTGAATTGATACCCTATTCACGAATTGATTGATTCCTCAAATCATCGTTCCTTAAAATATCACTATGGTTAACCTAATTTGAAATTAGTTGCGTTATTATTGTATGTGGACAAATATACGGTAAAGTGTAAACACTTTGAATACTTTAGTAAAAACTCGCAAATTATAAAATGTGGTTTATTCGACAAAAGATACCGTTAAAAAAATAACACATGAATTATTGATTGTATCAGCAAATTTCCAAATCTCTTTCTGAAGATTTTCTAACATCTCTTCTTTCCACATATATATCAACTTATATTATCAGTTATTTTCTACTTTTCTTTAAATTGTGTTTAATTTCTTTTTGTGTATACACAGGATGAAGAACGTTTACGTGTTGTTGTTGCAGATGTTAAACCGGTAGATTTGATTGATTATTCTAGGCGTTTATTGAAAGCCATAAATGATCTATCAGCAACTTTATCTATTCAGTAAAAATCAATCAGCAATAAATGTTGACGGTGATGACGATGATGATGATGATAATTTTTGCTGCTTCCATTCATCAACACACAAATAAAGAAGGCATTTTTCTTTTTTTTATTATAAAGAATAACATTTTATTTTCAGAGTAATTAAATTCCATTATCACTTGTATAATTTGAACATTTACATATTGTTTCCATGATGAGATTATCACAGATTGAATTGGTTTTATGCATTGTTTCATATGTGATTATAACCGGGATAGACAATGAAATATAAATATATATGTGTATCTATCTAGATAATTAATTGTTTTCTTTTCATTGTGATTTTTGTTTGGTTATATATTTTAGTTAGATGGGTTGTGAGATTTTGTTTCACAATTTTTGAATTACTTAATATAGCTAATAACTAGTTAAAATGTAAACTGAAGATGATTTTATGTATTGCTAACTAAATTCCAACCAGCTGTTGGTTTTTTTTATATATTTATTTAAACACAAATATTGGTACATGGGAGCACCGAATACATATACTGCACACTTCATCATTCAATTTGTGTGAGGGTTGGAATAGTGTCCGAGCACCTAAACTGAAGCAGGTAGTTTTCTTAGGAGGCCACTCCTCGAGCCTTTGACCTAGAGTTCTAAACCACAAGGCAGAAGAGCAATGTAAGGAGATGCCGTCTCATGGTAGCAGGTGACCAACGATTGGTTAACATGCCATTTATTCACTCAGGATCATGGAGCCCATGTGCACCATTGGTTTGGAATCAGGGTTTTCACACTCGCCTAGGTGAATCCTGTATATCCATCAACCCAATTAGAGCGCCGGACATTCGCTCTTCGTCCTCTCGATTTCGTAAACAACATTCCTGCCACGAGAAGGCAATGAGTAGGACTTTCCTGAGGATCGACATAGTTTGATCTTATATGTTGTAAAAAATTGTTGAGAGCTAGTCTACATTATTACTGATCATGGTTTGAATGTGATAAGGTATGAATTTTACAGGTAGCTTTCGAATCGAAAAACATGTGAGTTCTATGAATTCCGAGTTCAAAGAGCAGATAATGATGACTGTCTGTCTCAACTTTGTTTAACCAACCGATTAATCGTAGCAAGTGCAAAATTTAAACGTCAACACAGAAATATGCTCAAATATATCAGTGTTACCAACGATTGTTGGAATTCTCACTAAAATACTGCCTTAGTGAGAGCGCACATTTCTATACATTGTAATCAACCTAAGAAAACTCTTTAGATATCAATTTGAAAGTGAGAAGGTCAATAATGCGTTCAAAGTAGAATTCTCTAAGCAAATAATCGACCGTAGAGAAGGTTTATCGTGAGGAATCTTGCGTTGATATCCAATCAACTGTAAATGTAAGGTAGTATCTACCAATCACTTTAATCAAACGTTAGGAAAGACTTGTGGATTCTGGTGGCATCTAACGATTTGATATATACTCAGAAGCGTATCCCATAAGGCTCTGAACACCGCGATGAGCGACGAGAACACAAACGTAGACTCATAAAATTACCTTGGGATCGTCAATAGTAACAGGGATCTATAGTAGGAGAAATGGAAAAGTCGGCAGCCGTAAGGACCAAGGAAATAGCTATTGGGATTCTTTTAGTAAGACCATATCGAGAAAAGGCGAGACCATTATTCACTAATTCCTATAACTACCCGATGGGCAAATAAGGCTTATGTAAACTTCTAGTTTACACGAAGTAGACTCCTGATGTCCAGAACTAGACCATTTAGCTCAGGTAACGTAACGACAAGAATGTTGATATATCTCAATCCCAACCTGATTGGATCCTGTTTTTCAGTCCTTGAAGTCGAATACTCCACAAATATCCCACCTGAATAGTATAATTTAACTACAGATTGTGTAAGCACCAATGAATGTTTATTTCTTAGCTATCTATTTAAATCCTCTAATTAAGAATTGCGATGGTTGTTGACCTGTTTGTATTCAAAATGAAATCGAAAACAACATATATTCATAAATATTTCTCAAAGTAAATGAAATAATTCCTGATTGAGAATTTCACCATGGATTCTTCTGATTGGTGGGGAAAAATTCGAAGCTTTATTTTATTATGAACTAACGGTAGACCAGCTCGGCATTAATTAGTCATTTTTAGTGGTCTACCATGTTAATATTATTCCAGAGTCGTATAAACGCCGGGTAGCCATTAACTCATTATAATTTATTAAACAAGTGTATCATGTATATGATATCAGTTTATATTCTTTGATTGATATCCAAGGACTAAAATAATAGACCCTTTTTATTTGAGTCTAAACTCTTTGTAAACAATTGCTTCAATTTTTCTGTAAATTACAAGTTCAATATCTGGGACATTAAAGTACAAACCTGATTAATTATTATCAATAGTAATAGTAGTAGTTAATACAAGAAAGTAAAAACACTCTCGAAGTGCTATATTTGAAAGTGTTTTTTTGTCAGTTATTTGATTATATAGATAGAATGAAACCTCTTATCTCTGTATATATATTTATGCACACTTATTATCTATATGGCTATTATTTATTCAAAAATAGTTCTCATCTTTTCATTAATCACCAGATGAAACATTCGTTGATTGTTTCAGTCTGTTTCATCATCACTGACGTCATGATTGTGTTCATTATCATTGTTATTGTTATCACCTGTCAATAAAGATGACATTGTAGTTGTCAGTGATGATGATGATGATGATGATAAAATTTCCTGTCTATTAGATGAATTTACATTTCCAGTAATATTATTATTATTGTTCGACGTAAAGAAAACTATTGGGGATGTTTGCTGCAATGCATTCAAACGTAATCTTGCTAATAATCGTGTTGTTGAAATTAATGGGGATGAAGACGTTAGCATTATATTAGTTGTTGATGTTACAGGTGTGTTGTACTGATTATTACTATTATTATTATTATTATTATTATTATTATTATTATTATTATTATTATGTTGGGAATTGAAATTAGCGAAAGGATTGGTAGTAGTTTGCTCTCTGTAGGTCGGTGTAAGAAGTGTTCGCGATAAGTCTCTAGTATTGTTACTGTTAACTGAATTAAGAATGTTTGAGTTAATTGACTGAGATGTGTAATAATTTTCTTGCATATCATTATTATATACATTTGTTCTGTGAACATTTCTTGGAGTGTTTGAAGTATGCAGATTGTTATATTCCGTTAACTCACGATTTACTGTATTATTCACATATGGTGTAGGCGTACTATCTTCCGTATTTTCACAAAATAAATTATTTGGATTTCTTAACGGTCGAGTTCTTGTACTATTATCTAGATTTGGAATTAAAACACGATTTTGTCTTTCTTCTAATTCCATAGTCATAAGACGAAGCATTGCAGCTAATTGTTCACGTGTTTCTCTTAATTGTTCAACTACTCTTCTTTGTCTTTGAGGAACTAGACGTCGAAACTCAAGTGGTCTATTTGTTCGTTGTACTGAATTATTCATTAAAAGTGTCTGAGTGTTATTATTATTATCATCATTACTATTATTATGTAGCGGCTGTGTATTTAAATTACAAGTGAATGTTTCATTAAATCTGATAGCTGGAAGATTAATTTGATTATCTGAATGTTGATCCGTTACACTTAACTCGGTATGATCTCCCATAAAATCCTCTTCTAAACATTGACTTTGAATATCATTGGAATTCACATTTAGTAAGCTATTTATTTCAGTCGAATTAAATTCATTATCGTATTCTTGAGTGGATGCATGAGTTAATGATTGTTGTATTTGTTCATTTCTTATCTGTCGTTGTCTTCTTAAATTAGGTAATCTTTCAACACGTATTCTAGAATCCCTTACATTAATTCGTTGTCTATGTCCAATATTATTTGTTGTTTGATTTATATGTGTATTTGATGCTACATATGATCTTGTTCGTCTTGAATGAACTGATGTGTTTAAAATTCTTTGTTGATGTTGTTCACTTTGTAATCCCTGCGTACGTGTATGATTAGTAGTTCCATGTGAATTATTTATTCTTGTTTCTTCCATATTATTATTATTATTTTCCGATTGATTTACACTCTCACTTGTACTTAAAATGGATCGATTTTGAATTCTACTCTGTCTTTGCCTATTCCCATTTCTTAATGGCCGTATTTGTCTTTGTGTTGCCGTTGTTGTTGTTGTTAACAATCTTTGAGCTGAAGTCTCAGATAATTGATCAGTTGATTGACTGATTGGTTCACATACAGTAGGTACTTGTCCAAGATTCAAATTTATTTGATTATTGTGAAGTAGTGAGCTATTATTATTATTATTATTATTATTATTATTATTATTATTATTATTATTATTATTGATTTGTAATAATTCATTTCTCTGTGGTATATCATTGAATTTTATAGGTATTTCTTTATTATGTACCGTTTGATTTTGTGTTGTTATTGGAAGTAATGATGATGAAGATGATTTCATTTGATCTTTTTTACAATCTATTAATAATAAATCTAATTCATATGGACTATAACGTCTATGTTCATGTTGTTGATATACACTTAATGAACCCATCCAATTACAACCATCTGTTGGACATCGAATACGTTTTTTATTGATTCTTTCATTTAACTACAAAAATTCACAGAAGAAAGATACATAAGAATAACTAGTTAGTTAAATTATATTATTAAATGTGGTCATTATTCAAATAGGATATGTATTATGTATGCATAACTGTCACATAACATTACATGTCATCGTAACTAATATAGAAACGTTAATTATAACCTAAGGTTTGAGATATTAAATGTTATAACTCCTAAAATCGATCTCAAATAGCTCATGTGCATTCGTTCTTTGTTTTTTATATACTTATACTTTGTACTCCACTGACTTATTCTCTTTTGAATTACGTTGTCTATGCCTCATCTCTTCTACTAACAATAATACTGGTTCTACCACTCTGATATTTATATTAATAATTTCATCTCACTGTACGGATGTAGTATGACAACTTGAACCGGGAAATATGTACCAG